ATATGTTCGAGAATCTCGATCCTGTGTTGAGATCATGTAAGACAGTCAATGAACTCAGCTTCGTTTTGGATATTTTCCATTTCAAGATCGAGACTGTTAGGAGAAAATTGCATTTATCCTTGAGCCTACCAAGGCGTTATTCATTGATAATATTATAACACACTTATTTTTTATTTTTCCTTGTCTCTTTTCATTTCTCTACTGTTTGCTCTTTGTCATACATGTTCTATTTATAAATTTATGTACTATATAGAATAAGTACTCGTTTAATGAAGTATTATCACCGCTAGCAACCACCTGATCCCGTCCGATCTTTTATCAATAGAAAATAGTTGCACAGTATTGTACCAGATGAGTAATTCATTTCGAACGCGGCAGCGTTTTATGCAAATCGCATTTGTCAACTACGAAAAACAGGATAACGGGTGAAGGATAATATACAACTCCGATACTGTCCTGTTTTTCAGGCGCATCAATTAATTTAGTTGTTTGCCGGGCAGGGAAAGATATGTCTGATGCTTAAATATGAAATTTAACAAGATAGCTGGCAGAAAAAGGATAAATTGGTTCGTGATAAAACTTTCTGCATTCATCCCCCCGGCTCAGCGACGACGCTGTTAGTCGTTGCATTCGTAAATCATACTTTGTACGTATGAGGGGGACAAGTTATATAATTGGAGATCAACATTTGACTGCACTTGGTGTGCGCAGTGTCGCGTGGAAAAGTTCTTCTTGAACTTCGGAGATTGAGTTCCCGCGAAGGATCTTATTTCGTAGGAGGAGCGCGCGTAATAGGATCAAGAGAAGACTAATTGTCAGTGGCGATGAAATAGGAAAGAGTCGGCGACGTTCTTTAGGAACGCTCGTCGCGGGCGATAACGTCCGTCAGGCGTTATGGATCGAGGGATCAAGTTGGATGGCACTTTTTTCAAATCCTGTGGGTGGAGGAAGGAGATATGGACGAAGACGAGATGTACCCGGTACATGTGGATTGTGGAGGAACGCAGGCGCGAGAGGTGCGCGAGCGTCCGCGTCTATGATGTTTTCAAGAGCTCCGGCGGGAGCTGCGATTCTTCCTTTCAGTTTACCGTGATCCCGCATACGAAACTTCTCGCGCGCATCATTCACAGCGGGTGAGTTACGAGCGTGAATCGGCAAGAAATTGTAGCATCGTGTAATCGAGTTACCCTTTAGAGCCTAAAAATTCCCGGACAAAGCTAGACCGACGTCGAGTCATGACTGGAGAGTCTCGGGTCCGTTGATGGTCATGCCGTTAGTTGATTTTAGTGCGATCGATCAAGAATTGATGCGAATCGAGAAAAAGTGAGTTTATTTGGATAAGAAGATGTATGTTTGAATCCCGAGGTCAGAGAGTCTCCTGAGAAACGGAATGTACAACTCGAGGATGTCTTCTTCAATGCAAACAGCTCACGAACGTGCCTATGCACACAACACGTGAAAAGTATTCGTGTGCGACTTATTTCAGCAAATATTCGCGCCATGACTGTTTGTACGTTGTGTGGATTTATAAATACTCAAATGCAGCCATTTCTTTGGTACACTTCTCCCGTCGTTCAAGAGAAATTTATCGAAGTTATAAATTGCCACGTGTACAACAGTAGATCTTGTAAAATGTAACAGGCGTATCTCATAAATTCACGCAGCTAGTCGACGATCGGATAAGAGAAATTCATATAGTCATAAAAAGAAAAACGTGGCGAGATTAACGAGCGACGGCTATATCGCTCTGCCATTGACATTGTAACGCTTTCAGGGGTTGAAAAAAAATAGCCGAGGTTTCGCACAGTCATCCACTTTCATCAACGAGAAAGCAATTGATGCTATCATCGAATTATCCAATTATTTAGCCACCGTTCGTTCCATGGATTCCGTGAACTGAACGCATCACGCTGACAGGCTCATTGTGTTTCAAAGTTGGAACGCGTATCCAGATAGATTCCAATGTTCGGCAACAGAATTACAATTATTGATCGACGCCCATTTGGTGAGAATGATTAATGGTACACGTAAATTTCCTAACAAAGGAACGTCTATTTTAAATGTCCACGAAACTTAAGGGACGCTCGGAACGGTCGCCTTGCACGCGAAGCGCGTATCAATCTCGGTGGCAATGGAAAGAATACCCCTATAAACCACCCTCTTTCAATAAAAACGATTGGACATTCATTTCCCTGGACGAGGGAACGCGAACAGCTTTGAATGACTGATCAAACGGTATAATGAAGTAAGAGAAACGTGTACGGGATAAAAACTTCCTCGATTATGTGTGCACTGAATATTATCCCCCTGGTGTTTGGATAATCGAGTTCTCGGATAAAGAGATAAAGGAACTGCCTGTGGCTCGAAAGCAGCCAAAGCGTAGCCTCGAGTAGCAATTATCCCGGCCGATCTGCTTTTCCTCTGTTTACCCGGGTGGACCGAAAGCTGTTCGTCAGAGATTGTTTCGAAGTCGCGAAATAAAACGAGAGAGGAGAGATGACATCGACGAGCGTATACAACGATTTGAGGACGCCTTTGTCGCCGGACGCGAACGAGACGATCAACGAACATTTCAAAGTGGACGGCGCTTTGATACGTTGGCTGCTGTACGATAAGATTCACAGCGAGACCGATCATTTGTTGATCGTCCTGTACGTTCCTGTGATAGTGCTCGCGGTGGCAGCCAACATCCTGGTGATCGCAGTCGTCTTCAAGTATCACTACATGCGTAGGTACGTACGCATTTTCTTAAAACTCGTACGTTCATATTAAGCGATTTGGAATCTGGTGCTCGGAATTTAATTTTTTGGTGCTCCTATTTTTAATTAAGCGGATTAGCAGTTGATTTCGTAACTGGTTTAATTTCGAATCGGATTAGCTGGAAATAACTTGGAGGAATGAGTGCGAGAATACGTAGCGAGCGACTCCGAAGTAATTAAAACTTTCTTTAAATTATTGGGAGGCTTCCTCCTCGCGAGCGAGCACGGGATCAGACTGAGATTGACAAGATTACACGGCAACGAGACGATTTAAACGATACCGCGTGTATAGGCTGTTGATTAGGGAACTAGTCCTGTCAATTTGTTACCTCTATCAGAATATTGCTTTCGAGACAACAGGATCGACTCTGATCCAGTTAATTACAACTTTCGGCGAGGTCGAGCAAAATTTCCCATCAAAGTTGATTCAACGTTACGCTTTTTTAGCCCGACGTTCCAACGCGAGATTTATCACAGGGAGAGACGGCTATGAATTCGCACTGCGAACGTGTTAGATCGTGACGAAGATTGTGCGGAAGTTTTCCGAGTTGTTGGTTGAAATTTATTATACGTTTGATACAATTTCTCGCCCGACCTAGTTTCATCGTAAAGAAGCAGCTAGGACTACCCTTGAAGAGGTGACGAATGTTAATTAGATTGCATAGATCAGTTTTATAAGCGTATCACATATATGTGCATAAAGATGAGTCGCGTATAATGAACGGGTAGGCGCGGCGCGTGTACCTATGAAATATGCAAACGTATTCGAATCGTAAACAATGGGGAAAATTGAATTGTGCTGTTGGAAATCGGACAGGGACAAATAACGGAAGAGTATCGCGGTGTCGCGGTTGGTTACGTGACGTATCGTGCATAAACGAGCGAGTCGTCGAATGAAACGATAAATCACGAATAGGATTACGATTGAAAAACGGGAATTCATCTGGATCGGTTTTAACAACCGCGTACGAGCGGATAGGATGCGCTCGCGAAAATCGAGAAACGAATAGGCGTGCGCTTATTTCCGACAACGGCGAACGTCCGCGAAAATAAGCAATCGGTTTGCATCCGTGATGCATGAACGAACGTCACGGCTTGGCCCGGCCCGCGTTTATTTGCAAAGTACCGAATTATTTCTCTCTCTCTCGCTCTCTCCCGGCTTCCGTTTGTAGGTGTAGGTCTCGAGCGCGAATATATGGAATCTTGATATTAGCCACCGACGTTGCAAGAATAACAATCAGGATATGGAACAAAGCGCGCGCGCTCTTTTTATCCAATTACTTTTATGTACCTCAGTTCTCGAAATTGTTGTTCCGTTAACTGCAGTCTTTATTAAGACTAATAGAATTTGTGCGGTGCCAGGAGGGCTACGGTTTTATTCCGAGAAGAAAATGCACTGAATTGAGGGAAAGCGGGTTAAAATGTAGAATCCAGATTTAAACGGTGGGGATTAGGATTAGTAAGGACAGGAATATCAGAGTCAGAGGTTGAGGATGATTTATTGATGGCAAAGTTAAAACATGATGCAGGTAGGACAGATTTCGCAGATAGAAAGTGTCTAAATTAAATATTAAACAATATGTTGGTATAAAACAAAATTTATTTGAGATCCATTAACACTAGATTGCCCAAGGAAGTAATTTTGACTGATTTTGGGCAAATGTACAAATAATAATGCATAAATTATTTTTTTTCCCAAGTGAAGTAAATTTTTTTATTGTTAACATTTACTAATAACTTGTTATATGACTGTAAATAATATAAAAAATATTAAAAATTAATTTTAGACAAATGTCTTTACACAATACTCTTTTACAATGCAGTCATTTTGACTATAGTCATTTTGGCAATATAGGTATATACTAAGTTTCAGTCTTTCTACTGTTAAAGACATCTGTTACAATTATGAGGACATTTGGAAAGGATGATTGTTTTCTATTTCAGCGTGACAAATTACTTTGTGGTGAACCTGTCCGTGGCAGACTTATTGGTGACTACGATTTGCATGCCGGTGGCTGTGAGTCAGGCGGTATCGATAGTTTGGGACTACGGAGAAGTGATGTGCAAGCTCTCGTCTTATCTTCAGGGTAATTCCTCTGACGATCATCCCTTAGCTTTACATACAATCGAATCGGATTCTTTGCCGTCATGTAAAATAAACTGGGAGCGTTTGTAAACGTCCAAAGCGATACTATTTCTCGTGAATAAATAACAAATATAACTGAAACGAATTGGCTAGAATATGGGCGCACTTAAATATAAAGGGCGGAAGTCGCTCATGCATAAAAGATGGCGAAAGAGGCGGTGGGTATATTAGCAAATACACAAGGAACCCTGCGTTCCTCGAGAGATACGCAACCCTCTGCCTGATGCAGTTTCAGTTTTTCCCTTTATCCGTAACGACCTTCACACCCTCGCGATCTGCCCGGCCGAATAAAGTCTGTATAAATATCTTATTAGAGTCCGAGCCTGCTCGTTGCTGGTAATTTAAAAAGATGACCACGATTCCACGCGTGTAAACCTGAAGTGTTTCGCAGGTGTTGCCGTGGCTGCTTCGGTCTTCACCATAACGGCGATGAGTATTGACAGGTACCTGGCGATAAGCAGCCCCATCGCGTTCCGACGCGTGTTCAATCGCAAAAGCACTGTCCTCGTTATCGTGGCTCTATGGTTGGTCGCTCTAATCATCTTCGCACCCCTTTTAAGCGCGGTTAGTATGAAGATTCGATATAATCACGTACGCTGTCGTTTATAAGTACATGGACGCTCCCTCGGTTGCAAAATCAATTTTAATTTAAGTCACGGTATTTCATAATAATTAATAAATGTTGTAAAAACCGAGTGTCTACGTGCTTATGGATAGGGGCGTATGCATTTTCTTCTCTCGTTGTCCGCGGGACGATTTTACTCCGGGCAAACTGTCGGCTGTAAATATCCGAACGATGAAGAATGACTTCTGCCGATGGCTGGTTTCATTAATATTCGGATTGACGTCTTCGGTTGTCTCTCTTCCGTCTCCTATTTATTCGTCGATGCGAGGGATATTGCCTCCTTTTTTCCGTTCAACTCGACCTCTTTCTCGCGCCGACGTTAAATTGAATTAAAATCCGATGAGTCATCGGCTGGCACCGCTGTCGGCTCTCGTTATTCCGGAAAACAAGTGACATTTGTCCTGCTTTCCACGTGGAACGTGGGATCATTGTATCGTTGAAAAATAAATATCTCTCGTCTCCGCCGGACGATCCTCTCTCCGATGCTGAACATCATTAGTCACTTTTCCCATTTATTGTGATATTAAATTCTTCAATTTCGCTCTTCGCCGGGAAGAGCTATTTTTCCTGAACTCCTACAAGAATTTCCACTCCTTGCGATCCGACTTCTGAACATGACTCGATTACGCTCACCGGGACAATTTCCTTTCCTCTTATTATCCCCGACGAAACGGGATTTATACATCTCGTTCTTTCCACGACGGTCGAATAATTATGAGAGATGATCGGAGAATCCGTGAGAGCAGCGGAAGAATGGGAAGGGGACGGTGAAGATAGCCAGAGGAATCTTGCCGACGGACATAAATCTTCTCGCTTCTCGTGGACAGTTCGACGGATGAGTGCCGTCCGATATTTTTTTCCAGATGACCCTCCAGAGCCCGAGTATGGATTTTAACAACATAACCGTCAACAGATCCTGGATAGATACCTGGAATACATCACAATCACAGAACTGGATCGAGATGTCGCAGAACTTATCGCGGGTCACCCGATTGCCGCCGGCCTTTTACATCTGCTCGGAAAACTTTGAAACGCCGCTCTTCGGCATGGTGTGCTTCGTCCTGGTTTACGCGATCCCGGGTAAGCTTTGATTAACACCAATCTCGTCCTCGCCATACGTCATCGCGACGTTATTCGAAAGAGGGAAGCCCTACGATTTGTCTTTACCGTTCCATTTCCGTCATCCTCAGAGGATTAATCGGTTCACCCTCATTTATTTTCTTCACCCTTTATGATTGTCCCTCGGTACCGGTGCTCCTCAGGATTCGTCGTCATAACATCGTACTCTATGATGGGTCGGACGCTTTGCGCACGTAAACCACCTTTCGATTGCGACAGCGTCCAAGGAAGTGCCAGCTCTCAGCAAGTTAGTAGAGAACATACTGATGACGTTCGTTCGGTACTAGGGATGGGATCTACTTCATTATATTGAATTAAGTGATTGCGGATTTTAAATAAGAATTCTATCGACAAATTCCGCAATTATTTAGTTGCCAATCCAATATATTTGCGAATTCGAGTCAACAACCAAGTTTCATTTTATGAATTTCGATTAGTACTCAAACGCAATAATGTTTCATAATCATGATTACACTTGAAAGGTATTCATTTTGTACAAATCTGATATCGAACTTCGGAATGATTACTTACAAGTTTCGAAAGGATACTTATAAGTACCTCGACGTTGGAAGGAAAGATCGGAGAATTTCTGATAGGATACTCATAAAAGTTTCGAATCTGTTCGACCAAGGCTCGAGCATACTTACAAGTACCACTTCCATTTACCAAAGTACTTGTGGATGGTTCCAAAGTGTTTAGTATAGGTTCGACTATGCTTAGCAATTCTGTTTCTATCTCGTACTTATAGAGAGTTCGAATTCAATCGATCGATTACGAGATACTCGATCCCATCCCTAATTATTATTCTACACTTCTACTTACTTTTAAGGATGTATTGGCTATACAGTCAATCCCAAAAGTTTATGCACTTTAGAAACACATTTCTTAAAAAGAAATCAGACGTCGGAAGAACATTGCTAATAATAAACAACAACAAAAAATTTTCGATTTTTTCGAGATTTTTCCAAGGGGTACCCCTTCAGATTTCGCGAAATTTTCGTTTTTTGCTAATAACTCCCAAACTGTCGGAGCTACGGAAAAATTGCATCAGATCTTTTTTGTAGAGGACGACGAGATCTACAATTTCCATGTAAAAATTTTTCGCTAGCTTCAATAGTTTACGAGTAATTTACAAAAAACTGTTTTTTCGTTTTTTGCAAATTACTCGTAAACTATTGAGGCTAGCAAAGAATTTTTATACAGAAATTGTAGATCTCGCCGTCCTCTACAAGAAAGGTCCTATGCAATTTTCCCATAGGTCCAACGGTTTAGGAGTTATTGAGGAAAAACGAAATTTTTTTTCAAAAGTTCACCGTTTCGACGCTGGGATGGTCGGATTTTGGCAACATCAATAAAATGCCAAATAATCATACGTAACTCGTTAAATATCGAAGTTAGAAGAAAAATTCAGAGAATCTTTCTTGTTGAGGATGTCAGGGCTTATAATTTCTGTATAAAAAGCTTTCCGCCAGGGTCAATAA